TTTTCATTGACCATTTTTAAGTTTTATTTCATTAAATATGATAATTAATTATGTTATGGTCGTTGATAGGTGCGATTTCGGTGTCGTGATTTTTATTTTGAACATGAATGTTTTCAACAGTATTTGTTTTTTGATTTTTGCTTAAATAGTATATCAAATAAAAAACGAATATAAGTGGAGCTGTTAGAACAACACTTATTAAAAAAAATGCACTTGGCATCGATTCTAATGTGTGGTTGTAAATAAAATTGTATAATGGTAAAAATCCACTTTTTATTGAACTTTCCAGTAATAGTTTCACTGCATTCATAGAACCTGGAATAATGTAAACATTAAAAACGGTGTTAAAGTCAAAATATTGTAAACTTTAAACATGTCTTATATTAGTTTTAATAAGTTTTTGTAATCACCCAGTTCATCGGATCCAACACATTTTGAAGCTATAGAACTTGTTAATGCTAATGTTGCACCTCGAAAAATTTCTAATGGTGGCACTGTAAAATTTAATAATAATATTTTATTATTTTAGCATAGACATTAAATTATTGCAAAAATAATTACCTAAAAACAGTTGCCATGATTCAGAAATTAAAAAGAACGCGACTGCAGCTAAAAGATCAAATACAGAAGCAATTGTAGCAATTAACGCATCGTTCATTCGAAACTTGTAGCTTAAAATACCTAATGCAAACAATGTACCTAAAAAAAAAATATATATTTTTTTAAATATGACGATAATTAATGTATAATATTAAAAAAAAAAAAATAATAATAAATAATGAAATAATGAAGCAGAGACAAAGATAATAATTAAATACTTAATAATTAATGATAGAACCATTGATTATAAATACTAATCAATGATAGAACTTTTAATTATTATCAAAGTATTAAATAGAAATAATAACAATAAAAACGAACGATTTTATCATAAATTGAATTATATGTTTTCGTTATTGTATAATAGTTTTATGGTAGTTATTAGATTTACACTATTTACAGTTATTAATTATCTAAATATTATTTATTTTACTGGATCTTACCTATTAATACAACGGAGAGCTGGTAAGCATTGAAAATACTGAAGTCTACTTCATTCCATTGAAATTTATACCTCAAATATAGATATAATACTAACATTTCTCCTAAAAACATAATTAATTTGTATAGTTAAATTTATCTACATAAGTCACTTACATTTACAAAAATTATTAAAACAAGTTTTAAATAACTAATTAAAAATATAAAAATAATATATGCTTGCTACATATATTTTTATTTGTTTTAGTATTATAATTGAAATATCAATATCCTATTATTAATCATGTTTGATTTTAAATGTGTCATAATATATTTTTAATTTTAATAATTCAATATCAATTATTTACCGATTTTGCATATTAAAAATTAATTTAAAGAAGAAGAATTCGAACATTTTTTCATTTTATTTAAATGGCTGTAGATATACATATTTTATTGAATAATTAAGTTATTATACATGAATAAATAACAATGATGATACCTTTTTTTTACGACTTACTTTGTTAAATCATATTTGTTTCCATATAAAAGCTCATGTATTTTATAAAATTTTTTATATATATTAATAATATTAAAAGATTTTTATCATTTATAATAAACTACTGAGCAATTATATTGCGATCAAGAACATTGAAAAATATTACAATATAAATAATTTTTGAATGTTGACATCTTTAATACAAATAATACAAAAATAATTTATATATGATGAAAAAAAAATTAATTCGTATACATTTTCATGTTTATTAAAGTTATATAGTTCAATACTCATAATTATTGGGTAGAATATTAATAGTAAAATAAATAATATGCTACTTTATATCATATTTTATGGAATTGTATGGATGAATGGTACTATATTATTGATTTATTTACTATTATCACTGTTTTAAAATGAAAAATTTTCTACCTATAGTTTATCCTTAGACTTTAAACCTAAACCTTATTAAAATCATTAAAATTTAGTAGAAATATTATCACTAAATTTATAATTGTATGTATATAATATTATAATTTATATAATTTGTGGATACCTTTTTATCTATAATATAGACAACATGTCAATAAATGAAATATGTTTTATGTAACAAGTTTTTGATTGCATATGCAATCTACCTTGTAAAACTATAAGGATAACATTTTAAAATAACCTAATTTAAACGATATACTTCACCACTTTTATTACATTGAATTTATTTTTATTACTCATCCAAATATTCTTCTCTTTGACTCACGTATTCCCATATTACTGTAAATATGTTGTAATAAATTGCCTTTGTTATATATTTTTATAGATAACTCATACTTAGTTTTGACATTATAAAATTAATCAAATACTTATTTTATATATCGATGTATATGAATACAAAATAATTATTTTTTATTATTAATTAAGTATAAATATATACTTGAGATAAGATAAATTAATAGTATTGTAATGAGGTACCCATACAATTTGTGATGAAATCAAAACTATAATTATCCGTTCTATATCTGTGTAGCATTATCTAATATCTATATATTATATTATATTATAATTATGATATACTATTCCGATAAAATATTCTATGTAATATAACTTATAAATTGATACTAACAAACATTACACTCATTTTTTTAAACCATTTATATATATTAAATATATTATTATTTAGAAAATTAAATGAAATATGGATTATACTATTTGTTTAAAATTAAAATAGGTGTATTATTATATTAGTATATTCTTATCGACTTTTATAGTAGTCTTATCATTCTTTTGGATTCTAAGTGGAGCGATGAATATATTGATTTTTAAATAAGGTACAATATTCTCTGTTTATTATATTTTTATTTCAATCATTACTTTTTGGAGTAATAAAAAATTATTCTATTTTAAACTTTTTGAAAATCTAAAAATGAACTAATTGGTAGTTTTTTTTTTTGGTAAAATGTAAAGATTTCTAATATTTTTTAAAGTAATCCAGGAAAACAATAAAATAAATTAATGAAAAAACTGTAGTTTTAACGCAAAACTAATTTTTATCAAATAGAATTTTTTTCTGATAAAAAAATAAACAGTAATAAAGTCTTACATTTTTTCTAATTATTTATATACGTATTAGTCTAGATTTTATATATGGTATTAATTTAAAAAGTATTTTGGATATTTTGAGCTATTTAAAATTTTTGACTTTTTTATACCTACATTTTTTCGATTTATGTTTAATTTTTTTTTTTTTTTGTGGTAAAATAACTTTAAAATGCAATATAATGTTTATCGTAAGTTTCACTTATAGTAATTAAAAAATATTAAAATTTTAGTTAATTTTTAATTTAATGTGATATTTTTTGAAAAATTATAAATATTCTTAGAAATAGAAGACTGACTTAATTTTTACTTAGAATTGTTTTTGTATGCAATGATTTATCATTGAATTCAAATTAAACACATATATTACACAGACCTAAAAACTCAATGTTGACGCATAATTAAAATTTACCATATGACAAAGTAATTTTCTTGGTTAATTTTTATTTTATTAAAATATAAATATTTATAATTATAATTATAAGTTATAATTTATAGCACAATAAGTAATTGGACTTGGTAATAATTGAGAATGTCCAGTAACACTATTTAAAATTTCAAAGCTATGAAAACTCGGAATTTTTTACTATTATTTATCAGTTATTTATTATCACAAATGTGTTTAATTATCAAAAATATAGTCTTAATCAGTAGATGCATCATTGTATTCTAATGATGTGTTAGTAAAAGTAAAAAAAACAAAAATGTATAACATGCTTCATGGGACAATTTAACGACCATAATTTTGGATCATGCTAATAGCTTAAATAAGTAACTATGTACATTATATACGTAAATCCATTAATTCGAAAGTTTTTAAAATATTATTTCAAGATGCTTACTTGATGAAATTTAAAATTTTTCAATTACGAAGTTAGTTTTTAATTTTAAGGCAGAATATATTTAGTAAAAATGCTGATATACGTATAAAAAGTTGTTGTTTAAGATTTAATAGACTTGAATACAATTTTAAACCGAGAGACGTGTATAATAGGCTTGTATATTTTATAGCCCATAATAATGTTTATTAAAAAAAAAAAAAAAAAAAAAACAATTAATAGTGTTTTAATATCGATAACTAAAAATAACGTTAAACGACTATAAGGGTAAACACATGACCGTATACATTAAACCGTACGTTAAACAGCGAGTGACTTACCCTCGAGCGGCACGCACGTGAGCGGCGCGCACACGAACACGACTAGGCACAGGACCAGCTTGCCGTGGCCGGTACGGTGCTTGGTCAACACGCGGTAACAGTTGCGGAGCACGTCCAAAGGATTGACGGCCCGGATCACGTCCTGGTACAGCGATATCTGGTCACCCGCGTCTTTTTCCCTCTGACGGGCGTCTTTGTCGTCGATGAACACGAACGTGAACACGAGCGCGGTCAGGCCCAGGAGGATGGACACCACGTACGCGTGCACGAATCCCACGTGGACCACTATGAACCCGTAGACGAGCATTCCCAGTATGCCGCCCACGGCCAAGGTGCCACCGACCGTGCCGTACTTGAACGTCCGCCACTCTTCCGTGGTCGTGTCGGCCACGTATAAGGCGTGCGACCCGACGGGCGCGATGCTGGCCGGCTGGGCTGTGGACGACGGCGGCGTAGCACGTGGTGGCGCCGATCAACGGCTGAAGACGCTCGTCCAGCAGCTGGTGCCCATAGCGCTGTCCATGGCCGCGGGCACGTGGAGCGACCGGCACGGCCGCCGCAGGCCACTGATCGTGCTGCCGGTGGTCGGCCAGATACTGGCGGACGCGCTGTCGCTGTACTGCACCGCGTGGTCGGTGCTGGCGCTGACTGCACCGCGCAGGCGGCCGCGTGTCGTCCGACCGGCGGCCCGCCGATGCTGTTCTAACGTGCACACTCGCATGTACGAGCACGACCAGCGGGCAGTGGCGGACGTTGCAGTACGGCACGGTCGGTCTTGGCCGTGGGCGGCATATGGGAATGCTCGTCTACGGGTTCATAGTGGTCCACGTGGGATTCGGTCACGCACGTGGTGTCCATCCTCCTGGGCCTGACCGCGCTCGTGTTCGTTCGTGTTCATCGACGACAAAGACGCCCGTCGAGGAAAAGACGCGGGTGACCAGATATCGCTGTACCAGGACGTGATCCGGGCCGTCAATCCAGCAATACGTAACTGGAACCAAAGTACAACAGC